CACCGTAAGATACTTGAACTTTTATTTGCTACTGTTTGATCTTAATAATTTTCATTGGTTTTTTTACTTATTTCTCTAAGATCATACCATCTTCAACTTAAAATCATCAGATTCTAAGGCGACCAAGATCTGGGACAGGAAATCGTGCAGTGGACATGATAACAGATCCCTACAGGTTGACACGCCGATGTGATGTGACTGCAATCTCATTCTTTACGGCCTGCCAAGGTATTGTTTTAATTCCCATGATTGCTTTATATGTGACTGCATTACATTTAGGGGTTGTTTGTTTGCCTCTTAATGGAACCATTCAGTACTGAATGCTGAACCGTTCAGCATTCAGCGCGTTTGTTTCGCACCTCTGAATGATTCAGTGCTGACTGATTCAGCAAAACAGTGTTGAATGATTCAGCAAAACAGTTCATTCTGAATGATTCAGAGCCAGTAAACAAACAGCATGTCACATTCAGAGCTAATTCATCCAGTGCTTTTGAATCATTCAGCATTTGAATCATTCATTGCTTAATCATTCTGAAGTAAACAAACAACCCCTTAGTCAACGGTGATTGAATGAAAGAATTGCAATTTTAAATCCTAATAATCTCTTCTTTTTCTTTCTAATTTATCAAATTCTTCATGTGCTTCAACGTAACATGCATATCTGTAGCGGTTTTTGCAAATTTTGATTGCTCTTTGTACCTTAAGTAACGTTGATGTATTTGTTGCGAACATGTATATCTTGAATTTGTAGGTTGTTAACTGGATCAATCTTAGCCCATGAGATGATGCATGCATGGATGCGACTTCAAGGTGCGTTCAGCTTCCATCACAAGCAGTTAAAAATGTGTTATTTTCCCCATTTAGAGGCACTAACAGTGACATATGCTGTTTGTTGTCAGGTTTCCGGACTCTTAGTCAGGATGTTGAGGAGGGTATTTGTCAAGTGTTAGCACACATGTGGTTACTTACCCAGCTCGAATCTGCTTCAAGCAGCAATGCTCCACGGTCTTCTTCGTCTGCTTCGAGTGGTAGATTAAAAAGGGCAAAAGATCTCAATTTGATAGGAAGCTTGGGGAGTTCTTCAAGCACCAAATTGAACCAGATGCTTCCCCTGTATATGGAGATGGTTTCAGAGTAGGTCATCGGGCAGTTTATAAATACGGTCTTGGAAGAACCCTTGAACATATTCGGGTGACCGGGAGGTTCCTTACTGAAACCCCAAATTCTCTAACACATTTCCCTATTCTTTCAGAGAGTTGAAACTGTGCCTTTTCATTTTAGAACCAAAGGCCCCTAGCGCTTAGGATAATATTCATGTCTCTATAGGGTAGTTTTAGAAGCATTGCCAATTTTCATTCCTTGTGGCTGTCAGTGCCATTCTTCATTTTTTATATAATTAGTTTATTGTTTTGGACCCTTTTTTAGAACAAAATTATTTAAACATTTCATTTATAAAGAAATTTCGTTTCATGTGTACATGCGTCTGCTCAAATTTTGGACAGAACTGACACTAGTTCCTCCATGTTCGGTCTGTTGGTTCTTTTGTTAAGCAGGCTACACTTAATTGAGCCATCCGCAAGGAAAACCCTGTCCAGTTGTTGCACAATGCCCAGGATCAATGAAAAAATTGAGCTCAGCTTTTGCACCGTCTTATGGAAACCAGCGTTTCTGATAGTATTTATCTTCTTGTGTAATGATTGCATTTTTTTCCGGTGATCAATCGGTTCGAATAACACAACTCCAAAAGCAAAGACATCGATCTTGGAAGTAACCTGCCATATATCTGTAAACTTTGGCTCGAGATAACCTCTAGTCCTTGAAAAGCGATGCTGCTCTTTTCATTAACCACCGCTCTTACTAGGCTGAAGTTTTCAGTTTTGGCCCTTAGAGCACTGTCCCCTTGTACATGAGGCAGGTTTTGTGAAACGGTGAAGAAAGAAAAAGGCCATCATTTTTATACACACCTTGAAGCTTTATCAGATTGAAATGATTGATATTCTTCAACAAATGTATTTCCTTTGATACGTCAGGACTCAACAAATATATATTCTTTCAACACTTGCACCGAGATAAAAGGACGTTGAGCCTTGTAGATAAAAACGTTCACGTTGGCCCGTCTATTTGTGAATTGTCTAAGTTTCTAGTTTAGTAAACATAAGCAGGACCCAAGAGCCCATTTGATTTTACCTGTCAAGCAGCCCAATAGGACCCAACCAACTTCAAGTCTTCAACTACAGCATCGACTTCCTATGCTTTCCCCGTTTCGAATTTTAAAAAAAAAAAAGCCATGGAAACAGTAGCAGCATTTTCTTGCTACAAATTTTCATATCCGGTCATGTCTTATGACCTCGAAACGTCGTATTTGACTCATCACCGACGGCCGAAAATGATATTAGCACTGTATAGCTGAGAGAATCTTATTAATAGTATGATATAAAAATATATCAACTTAAATATAATGAAAATATAAAAATATTTTAAGATAACTCATTAATAATATTTATATATGAGATATTTTATTAAGAAAAAAATATGTTATCAATACTTTTTAACATGTGGATATAACTCAGTATTAATATTTTAATATATAAATCATGAATTTATTTATTTTAAGTAATTCAAATAAATTATTAAATAATAATTGTTTTTTAAGATGTTAACATTACATTATTAAAAATAAAATGAATATACATAATTGAGTGAAACTCGTGCATTAGTAAAAGTAAAATTATAATTTGCTTCTAAACGTAAAATTAAAAATAATAAAAAAACTATAAATCTTAACTTTTACGATTGATTTATAATCACCGCTTCCACCGTAATTTTATTTTTTTTAGTCAAAATAATTTCTTTAACTAAATTCGCTTTTAGAAAACCACACCAAAAACGGCTTGAGTCTGCAAGTGCTTTTACTGATGGTATGCACCTTTAGCATATGATGTTGAAAAAAGGCTTTGTCCAGGATGAGGTTGATTGTTGTACTCTCTTCGGGTGTTTTTCAAGATGGGAGATTTGAAAGTGTTTTAGGATTTGGAAAAGAATTTGGGCTAAGGGTTTTCCAAAAATAGGATTATTATTAATACAATGATTAACGGGCTGTGCAAGATTGGGAGAATGTGTAGCACCTTAAATTTAATGTGTCAACACTGGGTTTAAAGTGTCACATTCGGTCTAAAAGTAACCTAAAATCTATAAAAAAAATCCGTTAACTCTTAAACCTTCTTAAAAAATACATATTTCATAAAAAATACAAAACATTTGCAGCTGAGATAATTTGTATACAAAATGCAACACTCTGAACCTTTCATGATCCACAAAATATATAAAGCAGTTCAAAATATATAATCAAACATCATACCGAATAAATATATACAACCCCAAGTATAGATGATATGTACATGCCCCCTAATAGAATTCAGAACTATACTCTGATAGTCGAGATGCTAGAATTCCTCAATGACGGTGCTCCCTGGATCTACTGTAAGCTATCGAAATTCTTGAAAATGGTAAACAACTAAGGTGTGAGCTACAAGAGTTCAATAATGTATGACTATTCAAAGAAACACATATAACCATAAATTTAGAATGTAAGCGAAAAAATGTTATACAAACGTCATTTAAAATTTCTAATTGTACTTAAAGTATCATATTCTCGAGCTTTCGTTAACTTTATAAAACTTACTTGTCACCCCTTATTTATCTCATTTCTTGATGATATCACAGTCTCTTTCCAAAACATACCCATATTTCAATTGATATACAAATATAATATTGGCATAATGCAATAAAATACCCTTAAACTATAAAAAAACTACATCGGGTCTTTGATTTTACTATACAAAGATTGATTTTGGAAATTAACCGAACTGTAATTCAGTTATTGTTGTGTAAAAACATGACTAAATTAGGGATATTTGTTGATTTTTTAAAAAAAGAAAAGACAATATGTATCGTGAAAAATTATTCAAGGAATAAAGTGAACGATACAGAAGTTGAGGACAATTTTATGTGCACCTCCAGACGAGCTAAAACCCTTGATAGGGGCGGATGCCAAGGTGATGGAGTTTTGAGAATGTAATTCTTCGTGTTGCTCATCGTAGTACCCAAAAAAAAACAGTGAGTTTAAAGATTAAATTTTAGTAATTGAATTGTAAATATACTAAAAATTTTGAAATACTATAATTGTATGAGATACGATTTCTTTTAGTTTTATGACTATAATTTTTAAAATAATTATAATTGACAATTATTAATTAAATTTTATTAAGTATGTCGATTAAGGTTATAAATGAGACGAAACAAAACTTGAACTATCCGAGATCTACTCGGTCAAGCTCGATAAATATTCTATTTGAATGGACTCGACTCGAGTTCTGACTCGACTTGAATTCTTAACTAGCCAAAACAAGATTATTTGATATTCAACTCAAAAACCCACAAGCAACTCGAGTTTGAGTTTGAGGGTTCAATCGAGTTAAGTTTGATTTTTTTTATTTTGAGATTTTACGAGTTTAAATTTATGATTTCAAGTTCTATTTTAAAATTTTCGAATCGAGTCAAATTCAATAATACTCGAACTCGACTCATATAGTTTACTTCCCTAATCCCGATTCCTCTATAACGCGTTTATATCAACGAATTGATGCAATAACACGTGATTCGAGTTGAGGGATTATAGAAAAATAGGAGGAAAAAAGAAACAAATTTTCGGTCTAACGCTCAACAGTTTCCAGTAGAGTTGGCTAATGGCTTACATATCAAATCAACCGTAGCCGGCCGGCTTGACAAAAGTAGGACCTACACGCTTTGAAACTATCCCGTACAATTTTAACAACACCGATAACTTTGCCACGAGGCATCCAAGTAAGCTCAAATGAGCTCCGTCAATATGCTTAATCTACCGATACCCATTTCTTCCCAAATATATTTATTTATTTCGTAAAACAATATTATTTGAATTTACTTAAAAACAACAGTATGATCAGGGCTAAAAAATTAACGTAAGAAACAGTGGTGGCAACATGAAAATTGCTTCTAGTCCGCATAAATAATTAAACTGAAGCATAGACTAATGATGATGACCTTTGTGTTTAGCGATAAGTTTAAGAATTTGTTTATATTATTTTTCTTTTTAAATATGAATTAAAATTGGGTTATTTAATCTAGAAAATTAGAAAATAAACTTATTATCACTATCTAATAATTATTTTTATTTTAAAAATTAAATATAAGTATCCAATTCCAATGCAATTTCTTTTTTAAAATAATATTTATTATTTTTCAATATTCAACTGTAATTGAAAAAACTAAAATGTCAGCCAGTTCCATTCATTTTCGGGGATATGTGTAACGAACATGGAGAATTTTCTAGGAAAATGACAATAATAATTTATTATTAGATCTATTAAAAAAATGAATTCATGTGATGAATAAAGAGTTATGCTTTGTATCAAAGCAAAATCAAGAAGTTAAAATGAGAATCACTGATTATGTACAAATTAAGGCATATTTATTGCTATTAAAAGGAATAAAACCACGAAAATTCATAAGCCACCTCAAAACAGCTCTTTTGCCATACAGATTTCGATTGAAGTAATCACCATACACAAACCCATCATCTGGACTTTCTTCTCCTTATTAAAAAAAATCCTTCATGTTTACAGTGTAATCGTTCTTGCAAAAAGGAAGAGTAAAGATTAATTGCAGTATATATAATATAATACCTGTAATAATCTACAATCGCCCATTGCTCTCTCTTCACTCAGCACCATCATCAGCTAGAAATCTTTACAATTCCACCATTTCTTGATGATTAAGTCACTTTCTCGGCAAACAAACACTTGCCCTGAAAAGTAGGTAAACCAATTGAAATCCAGCAGCAAATTAACAAGCGTTTCCCATTTGGCCATTTGTTTCAAATTCAATCAAGAATCCAAAGCAAATGGTGATTGAAGGAGATCATAAGGTGCCCATAAAGCGTCCAGAGGACATGGCCTATTAGCATCAAGCCTCGCCCATGGTTTCCCTTTTCCACTCCAATGTAAAAGACTAACCGGACCTGGATGCAAATCTCTGCACAAACCTCTATAATTATCGCCCCCGAGGCCATGCTGATTCCATCTGTGATCAACCGGCACTATATTTCCGGCGAAAACTAATAAAAACGGTGGCAAAGAACCCAATTCGTAAATTCTCATTCTTTTTTGAAGCTCCATCCATTCCTCAATCTTCGTCGTGTAATCTCCGTCTCTCCATCGATCAAGGTCGATTACCATAACTCCAGTGTTGAAGTAACAGGGTTTACGGTTCGCGAAAGTCAAAGATAAAGAAGGGTTTGACCAAAACGTTGGAGTAAAGTAGGTCGTGAAGTTTGCATTGCAATGCTCAGGTGCAGCCAAGACTGAGTCGTCTCCGAGTGGGTTTGCGGCGAGTTTAGCTATGTCATCGACGAGAACCAGGTCTGAGTCAAGATACACGACTCGGCGGACGCATAAAGGAAGGAGATTGGCTAAGTAGCTTCGAGCGTAGTTCAAAGGGCAATCCAGAGCAGAGCGGATGGAGGTCGAAATGAGGCGCGAAACAGAGGAGTCGTCGAAAGAGTAGACTCGGAAGTTGAGGTAAGGGAAGGAGGAGGAGATGGTGGCGCGTAAAAGAGACGCGTTGGAGGTGGCGGAGGCTACGAAATGGAAGGCAATGTTCTGAGGACAAGAGGAGTGTTGAAGTACCGAGAGAATAGCCGCCATGGACCCCCTGATGTAAGCTGTGTCAAGGGTCATTGCCACATGAACCGCTTGATCCGAGCATAAAACGGAATCCTCGCCATCCGATCCATCTTCATCAACAATTATCGGGCAATCCGCAGAATTATAGAACTGTGGGGCTTCCTTGAATTGTTGGGTTGTCGGTGTAGCGACGGCGGCATTAGCGGCTAAGGCAATGAGTAATAGAAGGAGAAACTCAAATATTGGTGATTTACTCATTAGTGAAAAGGTTGTTGGCCAATTGGCCTTTTGGAGAGGATTTCAGAAGAGGGCAGGAGATAGCTGCAAATGGTGAGAATAAGGTTACGGAAGAGGAACCTTTAGGGGTGGGCTTAGCCAAGAATTTTCTTCGAGGGAGGCTGTTGAGTTCGCATTGATTCTAGATTGTTTTGTTTTGTATAATTATAATGTCTTCAAACTATATATGTGTATATATATATATTATTATATTCAGAAGGGTACCCACTATGGTCCTACATCCTTTTCCATCAACTCTCAAATGCTATTCTCCATTTCACTCGATGAGGAAAGCCTTACATTTTGGTAAACAATCTCTAATGGTGAAATTTGGGTTTATGTAATTTAGATTTGTATTAATTGTTAATTCTTGGTTTTTTAGGTGGAATCTTCTATGTTTATTGAATAACATGAGATCACAATTCCATCATCATTCATCTTTTTTAATCCTTGTTTTAAATTAATGAAACCAGACATATATTTTGATTGAAGTTTAAGAAAAACGAAATGAAATTTCATTGAAGTAAAATGGTGTGGTCGTTGATGCTTCTTCATTGTATGAAATTTAAGGCTTGAGATATGGTGGAGAATCGCAGTCCCAGAAAAGTATGGTTCAGCAACCTGCAAAACAATCATGCTTTGTAACCAAGTATGCTTTTTCTAATACATACCTCTGCTACCTTCCATCAAGGAAAAACTACAACAGTCCTTTCTTGAGAGGGATTTACCCTTTTTTTAATTGTGAATGAAGTTTTAATCACAGGGAATATTTATTTTATCAAATTTAGATTTTATAATTATATTATTTTTTGTATAAAAATATTATTTTAAGTCGATAATATTGTATCATCAAAGGAGTGTTTGGTTTACAAAAATAAAATTATCTTACAAAATAATATTATTATAGTTGAATATCAGATATACTATTAACTAAAAAATACATTTTATAAAATTGTTTGAGGAAAATTTTAGTTTTTAAATTGTTCATATTACATAAAGATTGAAATCCATAATAATTTTAATTTAATGATAAATAAATATATTTATCTAGCAAATCAATTTTCATATCTACTATCTCAAATAAATAATTTTAATTTTATGCATCTAAGATTTTTCTTTTGATAAACTGACAGGAAAAAGGAAATATCATTTTCTAACAAAAACATGTTACATTTATGGTTTACGCGAAAAATGAAATAAATGAACTTGTTATAGAAAACAGGTTTAATGAAAAAATAAATGTCAAATTATACTTTTTTTTATTTTAGGCATTTAATATTTTTGTTTCGTGTAGATATCTATTATTTTATATGTTATATTTTTAAGTGTTTACAACATAATGATCGATAAAAAATATTACACATTCTTTTTTTTTCTTTAAAACAACTTCAAATTATATTTTTCTTAAAGAAATTATAATTTTTACAAAATTAAAAAAACCAAATCCCTAAAATACTTCTTAAAACCCCCAACTTTAATTTCATTTCCTTTCACCAATATTATTAGCGGTCGCCGTTATCACCGTTGCCACCTTTCTTGCCGACGTGATCTTAGCATAATTCTGATTGTTTGCGATCGAGATGAAACAAAACTTCATCAATTTGCAGCCATGGGTTTCCCATTGCTTCAGTCTACTGTTTGCATAGCCAAACATTTTGCAGCGTGGATTTCTGACGCAGTTGTTGTCCAAAAATTACCACCAAGGTTATTTTATCTTGAATATAAAAATTGGGATTAGGACAGATTTGGATATTTTTTAGAAATTTAGAATATTAAAGTGATGACAAGGGCGATTACGAACACTAGATGAGTGGTTGTTTGTTGATGGTGACAGCAGTAAAAGACGACGGATATAGTAATAAAGGGGTTTAAAATTACGATTTTTAGAGTTTTGTTTTTTTTAACTTGAGAAAAAACCTGTTTTTTTCAAATTATCATTTTAAGTTTTTTATTTAAATATTTTTTTAAATTTTTTATAAACATAACACGTGATAAATAAAAAATATTTTTAATGAGCGTGACAGGCCACATCTAAAAAGTTAATATCGAAAATGTTAGATAACTATTTCAAATAAAAAATAGTTTAGGCATGTAAATAAGCCAAGATTATAGTTCAAACATGTATTTTTTTATTAAACCTAGAAAGTAATATTTTAGAGATCTATTAATTGATCTAACAGTCAATAATACTTATATTATTACACTTTAAGTGAGTTTGAATCTTAATATTTATCTTCAAAATATAACGTCTCTACCCTTAATAAAAAAATAAAATCATAGAAAAATGTTAATTTTACCCAAGTTTTACTAATGAATATATTACATGCCTTGAGTGAAAGTGAAGTTTTAACTGTTTAATGCTCATGTCTAATTTCATGTTATTGAATTAAGAAAGGAGACGTGAAATTAATTTATTTAAAAAATATTAATTTATTATTAAAATAAAACGTTATAAACTTCGACTTTTATGTAGTAGACAATAAAAAAGGAAGGTTTAAATATAAATTGATCCTTGAGTTATATCAATTTTCCAATTTTAATATCTATACTGTATTACAACTTCCGGAATTCTTTTCAAATTATTTAAAAGACAACACATTAAAAAGATAACTTTCAACTAATTTAAATTTATACCACTACGCAAAATTAATATAAGTATTATTATATGTCATTTAATTATCATGTTATCATTGATCGTCGATGATTAACATCTAATTAACCAAGTTTTTAATTTAAAAGAAACAAAGTTTAAGTATAAAATTTGAAATAATATATAAATTAAGGGTGAAATTGACATCTAAATAAAAATCGAATTCCATGAGCACGTTTTGGTAAATTAGGTGGAGACTAGAGGGTTGACCATAATTTTTTTCTATTTCAATAGAAGGGGATCCAACCTTCAAGCTCATGGTTAAAAGATAAAATAAAATAAAAAACCATAGACTACATCCCATTATTAAGTAATCTTATATTTAATTTATCTTCCAGACAACAAAACTTTAACTAAAAACATATAACACAAATAATATATTAATTTATCTTTATATTCTAAAAATCTTATTCTTATTATTATTATTAGACAGCTTAACTTTTTACCATTAGAATTTTGCTACATACCTACAGATATTTTGAGGGTAGGACCCACCACGCGAAGCTAGTTCCAAAAATAGATCTATTATTTGACTTTTGAAATATATATTTATAAGCTATCATGCACTAACGTAATGAACGAATAAATAGATTTAAAGATTTGATTGGTAGATTATGTCTTGTTGTTTAAGGTTTGTATAGTTTGTGATTTACAACTTTATTGTTGGAAGAGTGGATGTATGGCATCATCAATCTTTTTGCATAGATGCATGTATTCAAATTTAACAGAGGAATGGAATTGGTTGAGTTGGGGAGTAATTCCCCCATGTCATTGCCATCCTCATTTCATCATACCACTCACCCATCCCTGTAACATGCCGCTGCAAGGCAGTGATTTATGATACTGTTGTGGTTAAACTCTTTTTTTTTTAATTATAAATTTATTGAATACTATTTCAAGGATGTCAAAAGCTCTTTGTTTTTTTAAATCAAGTTATTAGATTTTTTATCATCTATAAAGTTATTTATTAGATTTTTATCTATCAATCTATTAAAACAATATTAACCTTTAATTTTTTAACGATGATAACTGAATTTTATTAATAATGGAAGTACTCATAATTACAATGCACCAATATAGAAAAAACTGGAGACAATATTCACCAAAATATTCATATAAAAATTAAATATTATATCGAAATATACGAAGAAAAATAAAATATTTCATTGATAATGATGACCAATATCAAAAGAACTCAGTAACATACATAAAAGCTCATTGTCTCTATTGAATGAGACGCTTTACAAAGTGATAAAGGAATGGTGAGCGAATCAAACAATCTGGCAGGCTACTTTGCTACACAATTGTAATTATATCGACAAACAACCTTTTACTAAAGAGGGGATCTAACTTACGTGACCACCGACAAACCAATAAAAAAATGATGTGATAGTTTTTTGTGCGAGCACCATCAAATGTATGCGAAAAATGTACAAAAAAATCATAAGAATCGTGACACAAGAGCAGAGAAAATGCGTGCCACAATAGTATAGAAAAATGTATCACAAGGATAGAGTTTCTTATTCAAAATTAAAAAAACCTCAAGAAAAAAAAACAAAAGACAGAGAATAAAAAGTAGGAAAACTAAGAATAACCGGCGGTTGACAACTAATATTAAAATTAATGTCGTCGTCGGCTAAACAAAAATCAAAGAGAAATAAGAAGATAATATAAAAATATTAGAGAAAAATAGGTTAAAAAAAAGATAGACATCAACGATTAAATTTAGTAGTTTTTTCTTTTTAGCATCAATTAGTGTCACGTGATAAAATTATAGTGTATTATGTGATTATATTATCTAATAAAAATTCATTTGACTTAAAAGTTAAAATTAGCTGTTTCTACTTAAAAAAAGTTAAAATTAATAAAATTAATAAAAAAATAATTAATTTAATTTATTAATTTAAAATTTTAATTGAATGTGAAATATTCTAAAATTTAATTGACACTTTTAACGAAATCAGAACTTACACTCTTTAATCTTTGAGTAAATTGCATGTAAATGTACTTTAGTTATGGGTTCAATAATAAATAAGTTATTTTTTAAGTTATAATTATGTTACTGAATTAAAATACCGTTATAAATATGTTATTTCATAGTTAAAACTAGCTAGTATGATAATGGTTTAATTTTTAAAATTTATACAATTTATTAATTTTGTCATAATCTAAAATAATTTTATAATTTTATCCGTTTATATATAAAAAAATTATTATTCTAATTTTTGTTATTTTTCGAAAAAAGTTATATTATTTTTATGGTACAATAACAGTTTAACAATATCGTATTAGTATTTTATAATAAAATGTAATTATTCAATTACTGTTTTGATCTAATATACTAGCATCAAATGCTTCACTTGTCGCTCGGATAATCCAAGAACCAGCGATGGAGGTTACTGCTGCTCTGCATGGTGATAGCTCGTATTTGC